CCTGCTGAACTTTCTTTACCATGAAATCCTATGAGGAGAAAATCCAAAATGAAACAAAATATATTGTTGGAACAAGACTTCCCCAGGTCAAAAAGCTACTGGGGAAAAGCAAAGGACAAGTACAAATGGTGCTGTTGCTAATGACACAACTAGAGCTCAAAGGATGTGCAGTGGCTGACATGCACAGCAGTGAAATGAAAGACCAATGCTACACATACAATAGGAACATGGAATGTGAGAAATTTGGATCAAAGTAAACTGGAAACTGCAAAGCAAGAAACTGAATGTTTAAACATTGCAGTGTTTGGTGTTAGTGAACTAAAGTGGACCAGAAGAGGTATTTTCATTCAGACATCTACAAAGTGTTTTACTCGGAAATTACAAACTCAGAAGAAATGGAGTGGCTCTATTATTGAGGCAAGATGTGCCACGTACAGTTAGGGGGTATAATGCAAAGTCTGACTATCAGACTGGGAAAACCAATCAGCATAACCATCAGTCAAGTCTATGCTCCAACTACAGATGCTGAATGAGATGAAACTGAAAACTTTTATGAAAACATCCAGGAGGAAATTGATCACACCCTAAAACAAGACATACTTATAAACATAAGTGACCACAATGGAAAAGTAGAAAATAAAGCAGAACCAAACATTGTTGGAAAATTTGGTCTAGGGGAAAGAAACTAAGCAGAAGAGCAAGTCACAGAATTTCTAAAAAGCCAACAATCTGTTTATTGCAAATACATGCTTCAATCATTCCAACAGACGACATCACCAGATAGTCAATAGAGAAGTCAAACAGACTACATAAATGGAAGCAGGAAATGGAGAAGCTATATTCTCTCAGCCAAAACAATAGTCAATAGAGAAGTCAAACAGACTGCATAAATGGAAGGAGGAAATGGAGAAGCTCAGCCAAAACAAGACCAGGAGTAGACTCTTGCTGGCAGAAAGCAATATGAAAGAATACAGAGAGACAGAATTGTTTCCTACAGACAAAGGTGTCAGACAAGAGAGCATTTTATTCCCTTATCTGTATATCATACAAACTCATACATAATACTGAAGGCCAGACTAAATTCAGCTGGACGAGTGAAAATTGATGGAAGAAACATCAATAAATTTAAAATATGTGGATGATGCCATCTTACTGGCAGAAAGCAGCAATGACTTAAAATGATTTTTTATTAAAGTGAAAGAAGAAAGTTGCAAAGCAGGGCTGCAGTTGAACATTAACAAAAACATGACTACACAGCTTTAAGGGCTGAGAATGTAGAAACTAAAATTGTTAGAGACCTTGTATACCTTGCTTCAATAATCAATCCAAGTGGAGATTGCAGCCTTGCAGCCAATAAATCAGAAGGCAGAGACTCGGAAGAGCAGCAATGAAGGAATTAGGACAGATTTTCGAAGTGTAAGGATGTGTTACTGGAAGTCAAGGCCGTTGCAGCCAATAAATCAGAAGGCAGAGATTCGGAAGAGCAGCAATGAAGGAATTAGAACAGATTGTCAAAATGTAAGGATGTGTTACTGGAAGTCAAGGCCAGGATCTTCAACACTCTTGTATTCCCAATTACTATACGTATATGGGTATGAAAGCTGGGCAGTAAAGAAAGCTGACTGGGAAAACATTGATTCATTTGAAATGTCCTTCTGGAGAACTTTGCAGATACCCTGGACTTCCAGAAAGACAAACAAATGGGTCCTAGAGCAAATCAAGCAAAAAAGATTTGGAGGAAAAAACGATGAAACTGAGGTTGCTCTACTTTATTTATTTATTTATTTTTGGACTTAGAGCAAATCAAGCAAAAAAGATTTGGAGGAAAAAACAATGAAACTGAGGTTGTCCTACTTTGGGCACATCAGGAGAAGGCAAGATTTATGTACTGTACTGGCAAACACAAAAATGCTGGAAAAAAGTGGAAGGCAGCAAGAAATGAGGAAAACCAAATATGAAATGGATTGACTGACTCCACAACCTTGAGTTTAGGATAGCTGAGCAGAGCTGTTGAGGACAGGGTATGTTGGAGATCATTCATTCAGAGTTGCCATAAGTTGGAGGTGACTTGATGCACAAAACAACAAATAAAGGTGTGAAGGTATGCTGGTGACCTAAAGCTAAATTAGACAAAGGAGTAGCTTTGGTCCCCGAAGCCAGTTAAGATTTGTTCAAATGGCACAAAGGTCAAGGGAGTCAAGAGTGTATTTGGACTGAATGGGCTTAAAACTACATAGAAAACCAAGGAGAATCATATCCTACATATGGTTTCGGAACACAAGTGCAAAAATGTTTGTAGTTCTGCTGCCTGTGTCTGCCAACTGTGACAACTGTTTGAAAATTATTTCAAACACAGTTCCAATCCCTTGCATACAGGCATGAATTTATCTTTTGGCATGTTTCCAAAAATGAGAAGGATCTCTATCTAAGCCTTTTTGTTATCTTAAAAAAAGAATAAGAAATAAAAGAAACACTCCGTAATTTAGACATGTCCTAGCATGCTCTGTTTCATTTCCTATGATAGATGCATCCTTGGCTGCAATGTGTAGACACTCTTTCCACTGTTGCTTCCCTTTCTGCAGGCAGATTTCATAATTTGCATATTTTTAAAAAAATCTTCCTTTTTCCTTTAATAAGTGCTCAAGAGGGTTTAATAAATCATAGACATTCATTGAAGTTTCTGTATAACAGAGAACCAGCGGTTGTCCACCAGACACTAGACTTGTCCTTTTTCTTGTCAGAAGAATAGATTCCTATAATTAATAGTTTCTGTTTCAGGGCATTGCTAGAAACCCACCTTCACAAGCAATTACAAAAAAAGTGACTCGGCTGAGAAGTTAATTTTCTCTTAATATGATTAAGACAAAACTAAGTTTGTCAGAGGTGGGAAAACTGGCACATTTACTTATTTAAATATCTTCGATAAGCAAATAAATAAATTCCCTCTGCGCCTGGCGCGCCAGCTGAGGAAGGCGTTCCTGTCTTTTGAGGGTGGCTGGCGCTTCAGGATTGCAGCCGTTGTTTGCGAGTGTAAAATCCCGATATATTTTATTTTCTCTCAGGAGTAGGATTTTCGCGCGCTCGCTCCCCGGGTCGGGAGGGGAAAAGGAGTGAGAAGAGTAGGCAACTTTAAGAGCCTCGCCTTTCCACCGTTCCCGCCTTCTCTGGGAAGAGCGCCGCCCGCCATTGGCGGCCATAGCTATCCCCGCCCGCTTTCTCAGCGAGGCCAAAGGGAAGGCGGGAAAGAGACACGCCTTTCTGCTCTTTCTCGGCTTTTTTTTTTCGTCTGAAAGAGTCTTTGGTCGGCGCCCGGCAGCTTGGGTATATTTCGTTCCAGCTGGCTAGTCTCGTCTCCCTTTTCGCACTGTTATGCACACCGCTTATGTTTCTGGCCCTTTCTATCCGAGCCACCCTGAGAATTTCCTTGGCTAAAGTCAGAGAAGGCTGAGGGGAAAGCAGGGCCATTTCGAATGTAAGAAACGGCCCGCCTCTTTTCCCAAGGCTTGAGTGCGCGGCGGAGAGAAGTACAGTACGAGGGCGTCGCTTCTGAGGCAACCTCTCCGTGTCCCTGAGTTTGTCATTCGTGCTGACACAAACACAACATGCCCACGTTGGCCCGCCGCCTCAGTTGCCCCTGAAGGCGTTAATGTGCGTGAGGGGGATGAGGTGGGAAGCAGGGCGCGCAGGGTCAACGGGTCCTAAGGCGCCTCACAGAAAACTTGGGTTAGGGTAGCTTAGGACTTGTAGGCGGAAAAAGAACTGAGTCACCCGACCATGGACAGGGACGCTTGTACGGTGGAGAGGATAATGGAGGTGTGGGGTGGCAGTGGGTAAACCGGACGAACGACTGGCTGAGGGGCAGCCTGAAGCGCTGACAGCGCGCACGGGCGCAAAGGAAGGCGGACAACGCGGAGCGCAAAGCGGTTTCCGCGGGGCTTCCTCTCCGGGCGTGGTAGGGCGCCCCGCGACGAGGCTTTGAGCAGCGGAGACTTCGGTTGTGCCCGCCCGGTGGCAAAACCTGAAAGCGTGTTGAGAACGGGGGGGGGAGCCACCACGGAGCCGGCCCGCCGTGCTTTTCCCGGTCCGGGAACAGCCGGGAGGCGGGAAGGATTGCGCGCAACAGGGAGCGCAGACGCTTCCCGTTCCCTACCCGGAGAGCGGCGCTGGGAAGCAGCGCGATCCCCGTGGTGATCGGGGGGGGGAGGGGGAAGCCTTTGAAGCCGGTGGCTGCCAGGAGAAAAAGAAAAAGCGTGTTGGAGAATGAATAAGAGAACAGTCAGACGGCGTCCGAAGGATGTAATAATAATTATTATTCCAATAACGGCTTCCCGTTGCGGACGGCCAGCAACGGAGGAAGCGCGGCCGCCGCTCAGAGGAGTGCCCGTACACAGAGGACTCCTCTAGGTCCCTCCGGGTAAAACCAGGTCCCTGGGTGAGAGGCAGACGGTGCCGGATTCACGGGGCTAGCCACCCTCCCTGTTAGGCAGGTCTCCCCGTGCGGACCGGCTGGTGGAGGAGACGGGATGCGTGGCAGGCTGATTAGGGACCTCAGCGCGCGCCGGTGGCTTCCGAGCCAGCTGAGGGAAGCGGATTGGTGGGTAGGCTTAGGATGGCGATCGGTCAAGGGCGAGATCGCGGTAGCCTTCCTCTTCTTCCTCACCTCCTGCCCGCGTCGCTCGCCTTCACCTGGCGAGTGGGGTGACCAGAGAGGGGCGTTGAGAAAGCGGAGGAGGAAGAGGAGAAGGCGGCTCCTCTCCTTGCCGGCGGGCTCTTGCCCTTCTTCTGCTGGCTGGTCCCTCCTTCTGTGTCTCCACAGCCTCTCCACCCTCCTTCTCCGTTTACCACCCACCTACCCACCCACCGGGTGCATCTCAATACTCTCTGGCTTG